TCATAAAATAAAATGCTTAAATAACTCACTGAACCTGTCCATATATAATTCCCTACCTACTGAGCTATCCCTGGGGGCAGTGGTCGCCCCATGATCGGATGATTGGGGGTTTGAGTTCCACTGAAAGGCTACCCTGAAGTACCCCTGAGCAAGGTACCGTACCTACACACTGCTCCCTGGTGTGCCTGCTTAGTGGCTGCCCACTGCTTCACTGAGTGAATGGGTCAAATGCAGAGAGAGTAATTTCCCCATGGGGATCAATAAAGTATACATTATTATTATTATTATTAAACACCTCACATTCCTCATTGCTGATTGCTGGAACAATTCTAGCACTGAAACTACCCCTTGTTCTGGATAGTAAAATTGTCAGCACAGCTGGTGAATATTAATGTAATATATATTACATTAATATGTAAAACTTCACTTCACAAGACTTGAAAAACAAAAAGTATTACCCATAGACATAAATCAAAATATGCAGAAAATTAATTTTTTCAGGTGATGTACTAGTAGTTATACAGCACTTCTCTGAGCACTTTACTACAAGCCTCACCCATTCACATAGACGATCATACAGTGCTTTTATACTAAAAAAAATAAATAAACAATTGTCTATTATGGGCTTATTCTAACCAACTTCTTGGTTGGTTGGGGTTCAGTATCTCCTAGAATGCTATTTGTTTAGTTAAAGACTACCCCCGATTTTTTGTTAGGAATAAATGAGAAATAAATGTAGTCAGTCTTGTACATGTATGGACTGCAGAAAACCAGATACATCTAAGCTCCCTTTTTAGGGCATATGTAGGACAAAAGAACATTAATCATATTTTTGATAATGGGAGGTTGTGGGTGGAGGCTGTGTGGCAGGTTGTGGGCCACGACCATCTCCCAGGCATCCACCAGATGGACATTCAATCCTTTAAACATGGCCCTGAGCACCTTGTCCCGCTGCAGCGAGTACCAGTCGCTGTTAGTAAGTGTCTCATAGAGCGTCAGAGCTTTCGGGTTTGCGGTTCGAATGACAACCAGTGTGCTTGGAGCCCTGGACAGCAACCTCACCACTGCCCTGCGGATTCCCTGTAGCCGCCGGATGTAGACCTCAACAGGGAAAGTACTGAGGTGTGACCAGATGCCAAGAACTACAATGGTGTTCCTGCCTCCAACCACGTTGTCTAACTCGTTGGCAATATGGCGGAGTTCACTGGTTGGGACATTACTAAATCGAATAGGAGGGCCATGGCAGCGGTATGTCACCAAGATGTTGTTTGCATAGTCCAGGGTCATAAACGGTCCAACTTGCTTCGAATTTTGCAGGATGAATTCCTTAAGATCTAAGATATCATAAGAAAAAGTTTCAGAGTGAAGAAAATCTAATTGGAGCTACAAAAGGTTTCCTGGGCATCTACCTGGTAGTGCTGTGTTAAGGTATTCAAACCACTGTCTGATGGTGGAGTCTCCATACAGGTGAACCACCTTGCCTTTGAGGCACTGAGTGATGGCTGAGGAAGTGTTGAACTGAGAAACTGTAGTGCCACCTAGTGCTCGCCACACACCCTGGTAGTAATAACCAGAGGGCCCAGACTCCACGCTGCTGCTACTCACCTGTGACTGACCTGAGAAGAAGGTTATAAAAAAGTAAGTTTTTAACTTGAAAGAATGAAATAAAATCAAAATACTCCGTAGCACACCTACTTGTAGTTTAAATATAGAAATCATATAGTATTCCTTTCACAATTAACACAAAGGGTAATTATATTCAATTAAATCTGAGCCATATTATATTCTGTATATATTTTTTTCAATTTCAGTAAATGGTTTTATTTAAATGACATGTTTCAGTGAGATAAATGTATTATATCAATGTCTTATTAGCCTAATTAATGCCTGGTTGGCTAAAGTAAGAATTAGCCAGTTGCACTTTGAAAATTAAAGTAATGCTGAGGATAACTAAAATATTACTATTACTACCGTGATCTACCTGAATATCCTCTGCCATCAACATTGAAACACAAGAAAGGACGAACAAGCTGTGCCTGCTCCGTGCTGAGACACTTGAAAGCAGCGGCACTTACACAGACAGCCAGCAGCAGTGCATACAGGGGAGAAACAGAAACTAAAGTATCAATCTTATTATACTCGTACAAACGTTGGTATCAATATTTGGATCGATCTGCCCACCATCACCAAGATTACAAGCTGTGTGCCTGAGTCAGAATCTCTCAAACTATCAGAGTCAAATTCTAAATATAGTGGATATGAATATGGCTCAGTTACACTCAGTTACAATTACTTGAGTACATTTTTTGAAAAAAAGAAGAAGAAACTTTTAGGAGTAGCTTTACTACACAGTACTTTTTACTTTTACTTGAGTAATATTATTATGAAGTATTGCTACTCTTACTGGCTACTCTACTCAGTATGAGTAACTTCAGTTAATAAACACTAAACACATCTTGACCAAAATGTATGAGACACAGACACAAACCTACAGGTTATGTCAAAGTGAGACTTCTTGTCACAACTGCGGTGGCAGACGTGTTGAGGTTGTGAGAGAGGACCGAAACGCTGGCACTAGGTTGGATGCGAGTGAGCTTTATCAATAAAGTTGGTGATACAAACAGAAATGTAGCACGGATGAACAGAACTTGTACTTACTTATACTGGAAAAACTAACAAAACAGACTGGATAAACAGAGGGTGACAATTCAGGGAGATGACTCAGGGAAGAAATACAGACAGATCAATGACAAGAAGGAGAAAACACAGGGCTTATATACTCACAGGGGCACTGTGAGTATCGGAGGGAATCGGAGACAGGAGGGGAACACAGCTGGGAGAAATCAGAGCTGATGAGAAAGGGGAAACATAAACTGAACACACTGACATAAGACGCAGACCTTCACAATAAAACAGGAAATACACAGAGACGCAGACCGGAGGGGAAAGAAAACACTGAGGAGCACGAGGGAAAGCACAAACATGATGGGCTGGGGAAACAAGGAATA